GACCAATCATGGGAGCATAAACGACACTCCATGGTCGTACACGTTTTACATTACAATCTTTTCTTAAAATCATTAGAGCATATACAGTACTGTGAATTTCACCTACTGATTGAGGATGCCCCCCTCCTTCCTTCCAATCCTACTACTCTACCATAATGTTTTGTCTACATATCTTTGTAGTTTAGTTACATCTCTTCACTTTAATTTCCCATCACATATTTAGTTTAAATTTTATATTTATAAAAGCCACTAATACACTGAAGTAACTATGTAATTTCTTTTTTAATTTTATATAATATATTAAATTATAAAATAACATACATTCGTAATTGTCTAACATATCACATCACATTTTGATTATAAAAAATAAAAATAAAAACGTCACATCATTTGAAGTTCAACAATAAATATAATATTTATTAATTTAGAACATTGAGACTAAACATTACAGATTTTGATTATTAATTTTCAGCACGGGTTTTCTTAGCACCTACAAACAGTTCAATTTTTAATGTATCCCATGTACTAAAAAAAAAGTGGAATTAATTTTTTAACTTAAACTAAATTAACTACGTAAATTGAAAAACAAAGAAAAATATAAAGGAAAATCTCGTGCTTTACGCTCTCAAGTAGCACTTTTTTATTGTCATTAGTTCGACATTGATGTGCACTTTCTCAAGAAGATGTGTAGGATACAAAGAACACATCATCCTTAATTACATTTCTGTTTTTTAGTTAGAAGTTCCATAGAGCCTAGATATTAATAAACAATTTCCATATTTTTGCAAGGAAGGTGCTAATGGACAAGGAGACGAGGATACAACTTTTTTCCATATTAATAAACACGTGAATGACTTTAGTCTTGAACCATGTGTTAGGATTGGTCTGATGATGAGAAATTAAAATAAAATATATAGAGTCTTATATTAGTATTGTCATTGTAATTTTGATAAAAAAAAATTATCATGCTTTATATAATTATCTTGCGAAATATTTTTTCATCAATTTGTTCCGTTAGTTGTCCAACTTGAATTTTGAGATTTTTGATTAAAACTTTGATGTTCTTGAAACAAGTTTGGGTGAATTCAATGAAATATATATATA